CAAAAAAAAAAAAAAACCTAATTCATACTCTTAATTCCACATACCTTGTGTTTCTCCCTCATACCCTCAATATCATCTTTGATCTCTCCTAACTTCTCCCTAACATCTTCATCCAGATATTCAAGTTCTCTCCATATTTCCCTCAAAGGAGCAAGGGGGTCGGAGGAGTGACGTTCAGGGTGAGGAAAAGGTATGTTCGTAAATGGGTTTAAGAGCGTCGAAGGGATTACTTTATTCTCGGCAGGAAGTTCGTCCTTTATTAATTGATTATGGTTTTCTTTGAAAAGATGTTGCTTTCCTTCTTGATTGAATTGTGATCGAGCTGGAGTAACATCGAGGCATTTCTTATTGACCAGAGGGTCTACTTGAAGGTTGGGACTTTCTTCTTCAGGTGATGTTTCGCCAGCGATGGAAGAATGTTTCACAGTTGGAGAGAAGATGGAGAGACCGACTGTGGGATTTTTCAAAAATCCTGAATGATGAGGACCAGGATTGGGTGAAATGACTGATTGATGTGAAAGTAGACTAGGACTAAGAGGATGACCACGATCCATCATACTTCTTCTATCCGTTCTGATCCCATTTCCCAATATTAACGTCGATATCACTTCTCCCTCTTCCCTCTCCATACTCCTCGAGTTTCTATCCTTTAATCCATCTCTTCCAACGCCCACTTGGCACACTGTTGGAATTTCTGGTGTAGAAGAGAGAACTGGATTCTCCCTTGGTGCTGGACTACTTAACAGTGGAGAAGAATCAGGATTCTCCAGAAAAGAAGGTAATAAAGTAACAGGTCGAATAGGAATAGTTACTTTTGAATGATGATTTCGGATTTCTGCGAATGTCATTTTTCGAGGTTGTGCCTTTGTCATTGTATGTGCTATGGCGGTGGAGAATTCTACGTCGAAGATGGATCGACATGATCGGATGGAAGAGTAAGAGGAACGCACCGAATGGGTTGAGATTATTGAAGTTGGTCTGGAGTGAGGTGGGGCTGAAGGGGTTAAGAAGTTGGTGGATGCGGGGTCGAGGGTGGGCATGATGATGAAGAGTATAAGTAATCGGTATCGTAGGAGTAGCTTGATTGGGTATGGGAGATGGATATGAGTCGGAGTTGAAGATTCAAATGGAGCTGGAAGTTGAAGAAGAAGATAGTGACTGAAGCTCGGGCTGAGAGTGGGGGATGGAGGATAAAGAAGAGAAGGAGGCGAGGTAAATGGTCAACGGAGAAGAATTAGATGGTTGTTTGGATAATCGGTTGTTGTTGATGTAGCCCATTACGGTCATACTTATGTCAGCTCGTAAGTTTACATACTTCAAACATGATGTCAGTATTGTATACTGGACAGAATGATCATTCCGATCAGTCATGAATGAGAAAGTCAGCGAGGAAATTCAAAACACTTACACAACCCCTCAACCTCGAAGCACCTTAACTTATCTCGGCGTCCTCAAGAGATGCTATCCCCACTTACCCACCCTCTACACTCGTCGTAGCACCATTAGTGTTGTCAAATTGACAAAATCTAAGTACAGCCGATAAATATTCATCAGGTTCAACATGAGCATAAGGGTTCGATCCATCATGAGTAGGTGTCAGTCGGAGTCGGATTTGTATACGAAGACGTAGAAGGTATTCTCATTTCTTAGCACATGCACTGATACTTCATAGGATAAGAAATGACAAATGCTTACCAGTCAACGAGATGTCGGAAGGTTTGGACCGAACGACTGACAAGGCCTAGCAGGTCAACGATGCCAGTCATACTTACCTCATTGATAAAAACGGACCACGGCGATTCGTAGCTTGTCCATATCCATCAGCGAGTTTGTATTTCTATTCACAGCTTGTCAGTCCACGTTACTCTACTACTGTGCTGTATAGATGTATCTAGTAAAGAGATGTGAGTTGAAAGGGATTAAAAGGAAATATGTCATGTTGAAATCGGTCCCACGGTCATCCGGGCACACGACTTCCGACTTCCCCACTCAGACTTTTGCCCTTTCCCCCACCCTTCACCTCTTCACCCTATCTGGTATAACCTCGATGCCCTTCCTCCTCCTTCGTATACATCTCCCTACAAGACATGTCCACCAGCTGGACAGGTCGATTAAAGTCCATATTCGCCCCTCCCGCTCATGAGGCAGCAGAGTATGAGCTCGTTCCTACCAGAGACATTGCTGTCAACAACCTCCCCCAAAACGGTGGGTTAGCGCCCTCTTCTTAGACAATGGACTAATCATACAGATGATATCAACAGTATCACGAGTCTTTCAGGTCCTTTTGATAACATAGAATCCGACTTGGAATCAAAAAGTCTCAGAAGAGTACCCGCCCCTGTCCCATGGCCTGCTCGGTTTGTCGGTCTGACCGAGTTCGGTACGGCTTCTTGACTTTCAGTCTACTCGTGAGCTGATCGTAAGCTGAGAGAGCGTCTTACTATGGAGTAGGTTATGTGCTAGCGTGAGATCCTCTGGTCAGTGTCAGTCTTTCACTGACGAGCTAGGAACTTCGTCCAGCGTCCATTGCCCCCGGGAGGTAATGGGGCCGGCGCCCCAGCACCTGGGAGTGAGATGACCCCAGGAGCGTTGGGAAAAGGCTTGCAAGTCAGCACTACTCTAGGCGGTGTCATGGCTCTATTAGCGTGGACTTCTCCCTTGGTGAGTCGGAACTGTCCAACACTGGTTGCAGCTGTGTCGGGATTTGACTTACGTTCAGGCCGGTGGTCTGCTGGCGGATCTTCGATGGGGCAAGTTCAAGACTATAGCCATAGGTACTGCCATGGGAGCTGTTTCTCATCTTTTACTAGTCTACGGTATGTCATATCCTTTCATATCGTGTTCATGCTTGAAGTGACATGACAGCTGCTCTGCCAAGTTTGTTACAGAATGGAAACTCTTTCGGTCCCTTTTTATTCGCCATGTTGATTTTGTGTGTTTCGATAGGTATGTCCTTTTCGCCTTCGTTGTTCCTTTCCACCAGGTCTGACACACAGGTTTGATAAAGGCGAATATAGTGCCTATCATGGGTGAGCAATACACTCCCACCGAAGATTATGTGGACACTTTACCATCTGGAGAAAAGGTCATAATCGACCGAGAAGGTAAGAAGCATTGCCTTTGAGTGTATCTAGAGCTGATAATAGCTACAATACAAGCCATCATGGCATCTTATTATGCCAGTGTGAATCTGGGTTCCTTTGTGGCCATCGGTTCTACCTTTGCCGAGAAGGTGAGCATCGACTATCAGTCGGTGATGTGAGTTTTACTGATCTTTCAAGTATGTCGGCTACTGGCTTGCGTTCCTACTTCCGGGGGTGAGTCCAATGTTAAATTCTGCAAGTAGAAACTCAAAATCAGATCGTGTTTGCAGTCATGCCCCCAATGTTATGGATAGTCCACCCTCATCTCGTCACATCACCAACCCCAAAAGCCTCGGCTCTTCTCGATAATATCTCAACAGCCCGTCGGCTACTGTCTCGTCACATCAAGCTTACAGAGGATGAATCCAAGGAAGTGTTCGAGCTACGACAATGTATCCGAGCCTGCAAGTTATTCCTCTTCTTCGTCATTTACAATGTCGCGGACGGAGGTTTGATCGTTATGACCACCAGCTTGACAGGATCTATGACAACATCTGTTAGCTTTTCTTCTCACTGGCATAAGTACTGTTACTTATGACAGGGGGTACCTAATGATTTCCTCGAAGCTGCGTAAGTGTATATATTGCCACTTTAAGGACAACATTAATTGTAGAAACCCTTTATTCATTGTCATCACTGTAAGACATGACTTGTAGCACCAACGGTCACACTGACGGGAAAGCTACCAATTTTGAATAAATGGGTGTATCCTTATTTGACAGCGAGGAAGATCCGGTTTGGGCTCGTTAAACGAGTTGTTGCTGGCTTTTTGATTGCTGCATTGTCAACAGTATATTGTGCGGTTCTTCAACATGCGGTACGTCCCGTCGCAGGATATTCCCCATGCCACATTTGCTGATGTCAGGTATATCAAACTTCCCCATGTGGTTATAACGCCACCGACTGCCTGGCCGGCGTATCACCTCTTGTATGTCACCATTATCGAGACCGTACTGACAGCAGAGCGCGTGGCTATACTTCCCCGCTTCGGCCATGCTAGGTATCAGTGAAGCTCTGGCGGTAGGTGTCAAGTTATTCTCCTCGGTCTGAAAGCTGACTATGAGTGGGTGAGCGGGCTTGAGATCGGTTACATGCTGGCTCCTCGTGAGTCTCGATCACTTTCTCTACATCGCCAAGGAGACTGACGATTAGCTTCTCTGCGAGCTATGATCAACGGTCTTTTCCACTCTATGATCGCAGTCGAAGCGGCTCTCGTCATGATTTTCGTCCCATTCATGAAAGATCCATACCTCGTTTGGCCCTTCTCAATCACTGTGAGTAATCACTCTTCTTCGAAACGTCCCGCTGATAGATGGGCCTTCGCAACTGTTGTCGCCGCTTGGGCGGTGTGGTATCTCTTTGGTGATCTGGACAATGACTAGATGGCGCTGGTTGAATGTAAGACATTCGTCATGTTGAATCATTGTTTCAAGTATCTCGATGTCAAAGGATCTATTGAACGCAAGGCGTCAAAGGAGCTTCAATCTCCGTATGTCAGCTGTATCACGCCATAAGGGCTCGAGGTCGGTGCGGATATCTCATAGAATCTCACCCTACAATTACTCCATCAATCTATTTACATACAGGGCATTAAACATGAGCAATCAACGTGGTAATCGCTCCTCCCGATATCGTGAGAAACAGCTATATGATCCTGTCACGGGCAATTACGAAACCGTCGTAACGACTGGTCGTCGTCCCTCCTCTATTCCGGCGAATAATGAGTCTTGGCCACTGACGGCGTCACGTTCACTGAACCCTACATACCCCAACCAGCCCCAAGACTCGCGTTACCTGAACCAGCAGGATTGGAACGCAACGAGTCTCCAGAACAAAGATGGCCACCTCTTGTCGGGGAACAGTCGACCCATGCCTGTCTACGACTCCAAGAATGAAACCGACGAGGCTGCCGACTATCCTCAACACTATCCTACCACTCGCGATGGTCATGAAGCCGATTCATCTTATCAGTCAGAGGGGCAATCAGCGCTTGGATTTTCGATGGAAGAATGGTTAGGTGCCGTGCAATCGGTACCGACTTGGGGAGATCCAAACAATCCCGAAGAAGATGAGGAGACTCTAACTCGGATTGAAGAAGAGGATTTTGAGGACTTCCCAGCTGCATCTTCTGAGAAAACACTCAGTTCAAGTGTGTTTCAAGACAATTCAGTGATGAATCAAGATAGTGCAGACGATGTCGAAGCATTCGATGACGTCAAGGTTGAAAAAACAATACCGGTGATTTCAGCTGACACATTTGATAGATCTCTGAACCCACGACATGACTCGTACAATGAGGCTAAAATCGCTTCTTCCTCTACGGTACAGTGGACCCCGAGCGACCGAAGGATACGACAATTACAGGTTGGAGTACAAGGTGGTCCGAGGAGGATGAATTGAGGGTATGGAAGTTGATAGATGTATGAGGGGAAAGTACAACCATCGAGACAAATAAGTACGGGGATGAGAGCGAGCGAGAGGGACAGGGAAGATATAGAGCGAATTGGTAGGGGAGAGGGGAGGGAGAGAGAGGAGAAAAAGAGGGAAGGTGAGAAGGAAGGGGAAGAAACGAGAGAAAGAGGGAAGGGAGAGAAGGAAGATCAAAATGGTTCGATACTTTTCGAGTCCCGCGACCGAAAAAGGAAGGGAATACGTACTGATTGATCAGATTTGATTTACTGTTAAGAAATCATGAATGGAGACGCCAGAACAATTTTATAACTGACTGAGAAATTTGTTCTCCGCCTTGGACGGGTAGGGAAGAGGGGGAAAGAGAAGTGGATTGATGTACGTACGCGCCCCCACAACCCGTCGGAGCTTCAACCCGATTACTTATAAGATCCGACCATAGCGCCCACTCTATCCCTCGTAATCGCCACCGACACCGATCCAATCCGTAAGTCTACTAGGCACTCGAAGACAGAGAAGATGTTAGAGTCAGCGGTTGCCTCAAATTTGCACCCAGACAAGGAAGGGGAGACAAGTTCTGATGACAAAGTTAGCCAGTGGCTCACGGGAGTGGAGTCCGCGAAGAGAGAAGGTGGGCTATACTTACCGGAGATACAGCCAGTCAAGTGGCCTGATGATGACCCTTCCGCATCTCAAATGGAAAGGGCAGATACTTCCGCTCTTCCTAACTCACCTTCATCCTCTTCACCTAATGATTTCCCTGCAGTAGCCTTCCAGGACATGCTCCAGGCCTTGGGTCAGAAATATGGCAAAGTGCCCCGGACTGAGAACTCCCACTCAGTAGGACCAAATGGTCACCAAACCAGGAGGACACAGAACCCCAAACAGGCTACCACACGCACCAGGAGTCATCGAAAGCCTCCTAAATCTGACGCTCCCTCCGCTCGACCGATGATGACAGTTTCAGACCCACAGACCGTCGTTCAAATGACTAGCTCGACCCCGGCTGAAACAACACTCGATATGGACAGCCTAGCGCTGCTAGTCAGTCGAATGAATGTTCCATCAGAATGGAAAGAACAAGCAAGACGCCTAGGTACTTGAATCTGACCTGTCCATTGGGACATTGATCAGTGATTGTACGAGTGACATACATGTGTGGAGACAGAGGTGGATGTGAGAATATGAGAAACGGATAAGTGCCCATGACGTCGTTGATGAAGAGTTTCATGAAAACTTCTGATAACATGCAGAACCATCTCATGAAAGATGCGTGCGAGGTGAGGAATCGGATTGGTATTGTATGTAGCTCCATTGACGATGCTCGAAATACGTGTAGTTGTTGAGGGAATAAGTTTCTCCTTTCATACCATCTGAGTTTCAATCATGAGAGGAAAGTTCTGGGAGATGGTGGGTTGTTTCTTACACTGATTTTGCCACCCATCCAACAGATTAGTCAATTTTCTTTGACTGATATTCTCATCTATCGTCGGCAACAACTCAGTACATACCATCGCCAACTAAGACTCGTAACGTTCACGTGTTACGGATTTTTGATCCATTACAGTATCTACCGTACTTGACATAAAATCGACGAAGACGGGAAGTATGTCTTCAGCCGGGCACTCCATTAGGAGAGAATATACAGCTGCTGACATACAGACTGACATATCTATTGGGTCTTGGCTTGCACAATGTGCAGAGTCTAAGCCCTGGAACAATCCCAACAGCATCCACCCCAAGCAGCCCGCCCAAGACGATGATTCAGTCAAGGGCATAAGAATGAGTACAAACCACACCAGACAAGATGGAGAAAGCACACGGGGGACCACCTCCAAAAGGAACCAAACGGTAGTCTCACCTTCACAAACCACCTTCAAACTCAGTAGATACGGGCAGCAAAGCCGGGCCCTGGATAATCAACATAATGATCATAGTCATCCTCCCGGTAAACCCTCCTGGTGGGACACAGCAACACCCAGAGTACGGGGCAGAAAACCTGAGGGGACTTTTTGGCAGGGCTACCAAGCCTGTCGCCCATCTGCCACAAGGAGTGCTATTTGGCAGAATAGAGGAGTTTATACAGTGCCAGAACTCACTAGATACCGATGACACTCTGAGCAAATTGCTTGATAGTCAGGAGATATAGGATCAACAAGAGATGCACGATCTGATAGCTAGACAAGTAGATAGATAGCTTGGCTCTCTTGCATCTTCTTACAATGAGCATGTCAGGTTATCATCATTTATCCGAAGTTTCAATTATCACAGAATCTATTCAATACTAGCACTCTCTTGTCCTAGTTTCTACAATTACAGGTCGCACTCACTTGAAGCATGCAACTCCGAGAAACCAAACCGCACGGATCATGACCCGACGAGAATAGGACAGTCAAGCTCCGATCGAATGGTCGGAACTCGACATGATCAGGAAAGATGCTTCTCTGGTCTATGAGAACTTGGAGGAATGACGAAGTGGAAGGCTGTGTACCCTGGACTCCTCCATTGACGAGCTCGGAGTTGTAGAAGGGGAAAGCGTGGGAAATTGTGGAGATTCTACTAACCCCACTTCCTCTAAAACATTCCTTCACCGAACATTTGCTTCTCTCCTGAGTGATCGGATTTATTCAGCTGGAACAAGATTATGGGACAGAAATATCCTCTGCTACCGCAAGTCAAAGCAGACTCAGATGAGTGGTTAGAATTGAGTGAAGGGAATGATCCAGATGTCTATGTGACAAGTTTGAAGGGGCCGAGTGATCTGGGCGACCTCGTTGCCACCCACTTCTCGACAGGAGGTGTCACTGATCCGACGGCTCAAAGTTCGTCACTCTTGACAAGAGCTATCATTCAGAGAGAGACAGCATTGGGGGAAGGGAACCCAGGCCGGGTGATATTGTAGTGGGACCTTTTGCAGTCTCCGTTGCCCCATCAAGGCAGAACCAACATGATCCTAGATTATACCGGGAGTGGAGTCTCTACAGGGGAGTTGAAGTCGTGGGTGTACTGGTGAGGCCGGCTACGAGACACGATCTGATTACTTCTCGCCCTGTTGATAGTCTCAATCTTCCATCGATTGGTCAAGCGGTTTCGACTACTAAGTTGGCTTCCCCGGAAATGGAAGAGCTCCCCGGGGAGCCAAGCCTCAGACCTGTGAACTTCTCTGACTGGCCACCGCTATACACCCCGGACCAAAAGTGATGGACTAAGTTGTCAGGATGTAGGAGACCATGAGAAGAGAATCATGCATATCTCTACAGTTATACTTGCACATGAGCGAAAAAAAGTCAGCCGAGTCTCACCAACGATGAGAAGAGAAGGAAGCGGTCCGCCCACTCGTGGAGGATGCAAGACGAGAACTACTGCGGGTAGGGAACATCCCCAACCCGAGGGATTGAGAGAATCTGGTTGTACACCTCCGTGGGAACTCTCTCATGCTTTCCCCATTCATGAGGTAGCAACTCCGACATTTTCTCACCCTATCTCGTCCGGCGGACTAGATCTAGGCCGAGTCCGAAGCTTCTCGGACCTCCACCATGGGAAGGGGTGGAGATGGGATGGGAAAGTTCTGATAGGAAACCTCTAGGCCATTTGGAACAATGGTTGCACCATTTCTTTCCCACGCTCTTCCTATCCCGTGGGAAGAATTGATAGAAGTGTGAGAGAAAGTCAGGTAAGCATGGGAAGGGGTTTAGACCTCTATTAGTCTATAAAACTCCTTCAAATCTAAGAAAAGTGTGGAACACAATGTCTTCTCTGTCTTCTCCACCATCCTCTCCAAGACCTCGGAATAATGACCTTGGGGACGAGCTACCCAGCAAGAGAGAGTTTCAGCTTGATGACCCGACTCAAACATACGTTGAAACCCCGCAATGTTCTGGTCAGTCTTCTACTAGCTTGCCTGATTTTGACATCGCAGCCGGAACCATATCACCCACTCTGACTTTCAATCGAGGAGCCCATGATGACCTTCCCGCGGACGACATCAGACAAAGTATGAACATGTCTTCCCAATCAGCTCAGAACTCACTCAACATCCCATCTGGATCACCCAGTCCATCATTAGCCCTTGGCTTGTACGAGGAGAGGCCTGCTAAGACTAATTCGATGCTAGTGGCGCAAATAATGTTTGACAGGGGTTCGGGAGGTGCTCGCAAGCCATCAACGCCGTCGGCCCACTTATCTATACCTGGTACCACTCTCCCCCGCCTGTCGAGCCCATTGAGTGGAGAGGGTTCTTCATCGGAGGGGTTGGAAGAGCGGAAGCCAGATACCAATTGGTTAGTCGTTGGCAGTGGTCAGGAGGATGGGGAGGAAACCCGAGCCCTCCTCAATTTTACTATGTTGCAAGCCAGAGAATCGACATTGGCCGCGCTTGGCATGACGTGAGAAGAGATTCCATATGCGAAAGGAAAATTGGCTTGATGGGTAGTCCGCTTGTCAGTAAGGCACACTATTGTATACATACATACCGTACATCCGCCACATTCGACAACCGCCACATTCGACAACGGCCACATGCCATGTGATGCATCATTTGCTTCCGCTCCTACTGACTTTCCGATTGACTCAACATTCCTCCATACCAAACTTTTGCCTGACACCTTCTGACAGCTAGGTGGTTGGTGGAAAGTATGGCCTCTCTCCGATCTGCCCTTCTCCCATTCGCTCGAGTATCACTTCGTACCCGTCATGCTCAACTCCCTTCCCTTCCCCCCTCCCTCGGACTCATGCGGGGATACAAATCCCGTGGACCGGCTAGAGATCCTATGACTGGTGAGATGATAGCTTTACCAGATATAGATGTATGTATTTCTTTTCTGATATGACCTCTCCTTACTTCCCACACCTACCAACGTTCGCCATTTTCAACCGTTGAATGACTTGAGTCCATTCCGCAGAACTGACCTTCAGCCGTCATTGCTGAAACTTGAACCTACTTCCAGTCCCAAGATCCGTCCACCTTCTTCAACACTTATATTCGGAAGGACATTCACCGACCATATGCTCACCATTCGCTGGTCTTCTAATTCTGGATGGCAAGCTCCGGTCATCGGGCCTTGTGAGTTTACAGTGCTCCTCCTTGGAATGTAAGATAGGACTGACCATCAGACCGACCATTGGAGTTGGATCCCAGTAGTACCGTCCTTCATTATGCTTTCACAGCGTCAGTTTCAATAACATGGTAGAATCAAGCTTATTTGCAGATTCGAAGGGATGAAAGCGTATAGGAATGAAGATGGTACCGTCAGATTGTTCAGGCCGGATATGAACATGGCTCGATTGAACAGAGTAAGTCTTCATGTCGTGTTGATATATTTAAGCTTACTTGATAGAGTGCAGCTCGCGCGGCTTTGCCAGTGAGTTTTTGGGGATAACGAAGTATCTGGCTGATGGGGTGACCAACAGACTTTCGATCCAAAAGCTTTGGAAACGTTAATCAAGAAATTGGTCATGTTAGATTCAGAGTGGATCCCAAATGAACCAGGATACTCTTTGTACATTCGTCAGTTTCCCAATTCCGTGCAGATATACAAGCTGATAAGTAGGTCCTACATTGATAGGTACTCAGAACGCCTTGGGTGTTGGACCAAACTCTGACGCGCTTCTCTTCGTCATTTGTTCTCCCGTAAGTCCTCATACATGCCTTACCGCCACTCTCGAGCACATGCTAATGTATCAGGTCGGACCTTACTATGCTTGTGAGCTCTTCCACACTGACATGAGAAGAGACGGAACGTTGACTTGATAGCTGGATACAAACCCGTTCAATTACTCGCGACTAAAAAATACGTCCGTGCTTGGCCTGGTGGTACAGGTTCTCACAAACTCGGTGTCAAGTGAATTACCATTCCCTTTTTCCAATCGAAATGATAAATTGATGAATAGTTATGGACCAGGTATCGTCCCACAAAGTGAAGCTGCCAAAGAAGGTTACAGTCAAAATCTTTGGTTGTTCGGTGAAGATGACGCCCTGACAGAGGTATGTTCTGCATACTCTTAAATCAATCAGAGTTTGACGTATAAAGGTAGGAACTATGAACCTTTTTGTCGCTTTCAAAAAACCTGATGGAGGTCCGTATTCATTTAATCTTGGTTAGTAGTTGAGAGAGCTGATGATCAAGGTGTGGAATTGGCTACCCCACCTTTGGGAGATCTCGTACTTCCCGGTGTGACACGTGATTCGTACGTTTCCTTAATTATCATGCAAGACATGTGCACAGCTGATACGTAAGCGTTTTGGCACTTGCTAGAGGACACATCAAGGGGGAAAAGATCCCGGGTTTACCGGATAATTTGACGGTCACGGAGAGGAAAGTGGTCATGGGGGAATTGGAAGAGGCGGAGAAGAATGGGACTTTGTCGGAAGTGTTCGGGACTGGTACGGCTGCTGTGATTTCGGTCGTAGATAGGTGAGCTACTTTCACTGTTTCACCTCTCCCTTTCCTGCTTACCATATTACCCCTTATCGTCGTGAAGGCTGAGGTGGTTGTCAAAGCGATAAGTGAGTATACGAAAGATTGAGCTGAATCATCAGGATCGGGTACAACGGAAGAGATATCACTATTCCCACCGGTCCTCGAGGTTTAGGACCTATCGCAGAGTCTTTGCTCAGTCGTGTGACCGACATTCAGACAGGAAAGATCGAACACGAATGGAGTATTGTGGCCAATGACGTACGATTGTAGTCTGACCAACTTTCATCTTCACACTTTTGAGACAAGTCCGTTATCTTGAGGTCATCATGCAGTCGGGGTCACGATGAAACATGATGCATACACTTTGAGTCACTTCTCCACGATGATATTGTCTTCAGATCCATACATTTCACCCCTCCGACTTTTACTCGCGGTGAGTCCGATGCCTATGACGAAAACCTCATGTCGAATCAAGTTCACTTCTTGATGAATCAGATCGCTTTGTAAATACTATACGTACGAATCTGAAGTATTCGCTACTTATTGATGAAGCTTTTCACATCCTTATCCAACACATCACGCAAATGTCTCTTCAACTTGGTAGTGGAGATACCCGTCTCTTGCTCCATTTCCCCCCATTCAGCCTTTTCATACGCTTTTATGACCCCACCCCAAATTGCAATACGTTCTTTTTTACCCAATCCACCTTGTTTTTTCAAAGCTTTACTTGCCAAAGTCCCATTGACCATACTCCTCAAATCGGCCGAGAGTACCTCACGCCAATGTCGGGATAACTTGGCGGTGGTGATTGCCAGTCCTTCCTCAGATAGGGATTTAGCTACAGAAACAAAATCGATAGCTTTGACATAATTGGGAGTGGACATGGCGTTGATAATTGCCACTCGATGTGCGGGAAGGATCTTTTCGGCGGGTGCGAGTTTCTTCTTATTGGGAGTGTCTTGAGATTCAGGAGCAGAACGTTTACGAGGAGTGGTCTGATGTCAGCTCGTCATCTCTTTCGAATTACATGAGAGAAGCTGACCTGAGACGACTTGGGTGTAGGATTAGGAGAGGAGGCATCATCATCATCCGTATCGTTCGCCTGATTCTCAGTTTTGAATAGGACTTAGATGGTGAAGGAGACGTACAACAGGAGAGGGGAGTTGAGATTCTTCAAAGATCTTTTCCTTCGGGACTTTCTTTCCTTTCTGCCCAAGGTCAGTCAAGACGTACTTTGTAGAACGATGGGGAGTAACAAACCGTTTTCGTGAACACAGGGGAAGGAGTCTCCTCTCTGTATGAAGGAGAAGATGCTTGGTCTGAAACAGATTCGAGCTCTGACTGCTCTTCTTCGGTATGGTCCGCTTGGGCTTCTGCTTTACCTTCAATGCCATCTTCGTTCATCTCCTGACCATCAGCGTCATACTAAGTCGCCATACTTCTACTGACCTCCACAGCCTGACTTTGGCAGTTTATCTGAGAAAGCCCTTCGACCTCTGAAGTCGCAGCGGTTGCGTCACCTTCGATTTCCTTTACGAAAGGAGTTGTCTCTGCTTCTTCTGCTTCTTCTGCTTCTTCAACTTCTTTATTGTCGTTCGCCTCTTCCTCCTCCTCATTTGTCATCTCGTCATCCGCTTTTTTCTCCTTGTTCGTTCCTTTTCCTGCGTTGTTCACATCCTCGTCCTCCGCTTTTTCCTCTTCGTTCGTTTCTTTCCTCGAATTACTAGCTACCTCTTCATCCACTTCTATCTCCTCCTCATCCTCCTTGACTTTCTCGTCATCCACCTCCTTCTGGTCAGCTTCAAGTTCCTCTTCATCCACCTCCTCCATTTTCTTCCTCGACACCGCCTGAGCAGTCTCTTTACGCTTACTCGGGGGTTTTGGCCTCACCCCGGTATTCTTCCCCGGACTACTGATATGAATAGGTTTACTTTTAGAAGGTAACAACTTGATACCTCCCCCTTTCTTCGCCATCACAGGTTTGTTCGTCGTCTTCATTTGAGCTTTGAATGCTGACGTGATGACAGGAGTCGTGTCACGTTCACCTTCCTCGACATCAGGTTCGGTCGGAGTGGCTGTACGAAGTTTGCCCATAGCAAGACGGGTCTGAGATAGAGTCAGATCGACACAGTCATCTCGTCATCATGATGAGCACTCACGAGAGACTTTTTCTTCGCATCGACCATCACCATGGGCTATCAATGTCAGCTCAAAGCATTCCAGTATTTGGGGCAGACACACCTTCTGCTTTCCGACGATTTCTACTTTGCCGCTTTTCGAGCCAGGTTTCTTGACAGCTGCTTTCGACTTGGTTTTCTTGTCTACTTTCGCTTTACTAGCTTTACTTCTAGTTCTCTTCTGCTCACTCATCAGCAGATACTCTCTTCTGGTCATAAGGGAGGGATAGAAGGGAGATCAGACTGAGTATGGGAATGAAACAGAGAAAGGCTAACAGGTTGATCATCCTCTTCGTCCTCATCTCCATCCCCCATGAGGTCATCCTCAGCCTCATCAACCTCATCTGGTGGCGTCTCAAATTGTTCATCTTCACTATCCTCCTCAGTCACCACCGTCCCATCATCGTCAGGATCTTCAATAGTATCCGAATTAATGGGTTTCCCATAATGTTGGACCGGCTTACGAATTCTCTTGCCCGTTGTCAAGGGGACGTCAGAAGAAATGGGGAGCGCCGAGGAAGGTGTGTGGAGTTCTGTAGACGGGGGAGACGACGAGACAGGAGTTGGAAGTTTAGTAGCTTTGCGAGCCATTGTGATTGACGTCAGATAGACTTGATAGTTGATGGGGGATGTATCGAAAAGGGTGTGAGTAGTGGAATGCAGAAGAGAAGAAGAGAGGAAAAGGGAAGAGTGGATGACGAGAGATACAAAGGTGGGGGAAAGCGTGGGAACCGTAATCTCGCACGGACCTCAAAAGTTGACTGGACCGGTATTTCCCCACAGAAGAATATTTCACTAGTTTGACCGTTTATCCCCACCAATCCACTGCCACCGATGATAGAGCTTGTTGCGATGGTAAGATGGTGAAAAGGAGAAGAGAAAAATTAGATGTCGATATCGCAGTTGTAGGTTTCTCAGCAACCGATCCTTTGCCCCGTGGGGGATCAAACCAGATTGATCCACTGACTTACAGACTGCCGGAATAGGAAAAATCAGAAGATCATGCAAGTCTGTTCCCCTGAACCCACATTCCTACCCTGTTACTAGGCGTACCGTTACACCACCATTTCTCTATCGCTTCGACCCACCATCTCTCGTCTGGTTCTTCAGGAAGGTCGAACATGTCCAGAGATCCGATAGATGTACCGTCATCATTGGCCACTCTTACTGTTCCATCAGTCATCTCCCAGAGCTCTGAGGAGGTTCTTACTCGCCATGGTACAGGAGGTGAGAGGAAGAGGGATGAGATGATAAGACTTACTAAATTGAGCATCGAATTCCATCCCTACTTCCCAACATCCTCCGAGTTGGAGGGCCTTTTTTCCTCCTCGAGTAGCGACATACAAACTTTCTTTCCAATCCACTCTCTTACTCTTCCCACCGTCACTCGGGCTTCCAGATGGGATGTCTTCTTTTTTGAAACTCTCTCTGAGTCGAGAGGTGATAACTGATTGTCGCATGGATTGCTGGATACCAACTGCGTAACCACCTGCGATATCTGAACCGAGACCAACGGAGATGCCCTCGTCCAATGCCCTGATGTAAGCTTTGAATGGCGACATTCGGGTGAAGAAGACTCACTCTCGAAGTGGGAACTGTGAGTCGGAGAAATATGCGTTTGACCTATCTCTTAGCTGACTGAGTATGTGGCTTCACAAGACCTCAGCTTACAGAGGACAATGAGCGACCGTCACACCACGCTCTCTGACCAGCTTTCTGAGATCTGGGGGAAAACTAGTGACGTGTGCTTGGATAGTTTTTGGGCCTAACAGACCGGCCTACGTTTAGTCAGCTCTTCCTCTCTGTTGCAACGTCTATCAACTAGTATGCTCCTAAGAAACCGAACACCGAAAAGCAATCGACGTGAAGATGGGGCTTTCAAGACGTCTCCAATATCCAGCATCTTTTGGCATATATTTGGCCAGAGCTCTAACACCAGATGTCGGTGACTGGTGGGAAAGCAGGATGATGAATGAAGGAGAACAACATCACCTGATCAAACACCTCCTCATCCCTTCTCCCTCGACTCCCTTCCACCCAATCCATCTGGTCCTTACTTTCACACATATGGCTAGTGATCCAATAATCTCCTTCTCTCGCCAGTTTTCCCAACCCATGAAGTAACTCATCCGAGCAAACGGGGACAAACCGCGGTGTGATGATAGGCTGTACGAGTCTTCTATGAGGGGGTAAAGAGGAGGTGAGTTGTTCCATTCCGGAGATGAAAGTGGACAAGGAGTTAAGAGATGAGGTATGTGAAGATTCGCCATATGTCGGACGCTATGGGTTGTCAGTCAAAGCTGTTGAGACATGCACAGTTTCAGATATCGTTCAGAATGGTGCCGTAATTGAAGAAAGTGAGGTTCGCAGCGGGGTGCGGTAACACAAGTGTAGTAGAGCGGGAATCATGTGTGATACGGTATCAGAGATCAATGTGAAGGAGTAAAAAGGGGAAGTGAAATACATACAGGTGATTGATCCATAGATAATTTCCCCACCCATCCTCTTAACCCTGCTTCGAGTAATTTACGAGCCAAGATCAAGCTATAGAATAAACTTCTCCCTCTCCCTCTCGATTCCACATTCACCCATTAAGTCATCCCGACATGAACAGAACGAGAACTTCCATTCCATTCCCCACCTTCCAAAACTCAGACAAGTACCCGTTGAAGCACGACATAATCCCCACCAACCCAAAAATCATCACGAAGCGTCCATTTCCGGCAGCTGAGAAGATTTCTCAGGTATGCAAGTGTGTGTGAATGTGGATGTGAGGGGAGAAGGGGGGCGGGGAAGTAACCGTAATGAGATGAAAATGATAATGTTGTGAGAGATAAATATATAACACTCTACTACTCACTTCGCTTCAACCCCAATAGTCCCAAAAAATACCACACTCCCCGTTCCTTCATCAACCAACCTCCTGACTAAAGTATCATACACTTTCTCAGCTAATCGAGAATCATTATCTATCTTTTCCTCGGCTACATAAGTATACCTCTCTAACCATTCCATCAAAGGTAAATCTAGACCCGTACCGGCATATAAATATTGAGGTGCGTGAAGATGTAAATCTGTGAAAGTAGGTAAGAGGAATGAATATTTGTCAAGGTTATGTATAGGTATATTTCTCAATTGGGTCAGTTGGGATGGTATTTCGGAGAGATGAGTAGGTGAAAGAGAAGTTATGTAACCTTCTTTATTCACTTCTGTCACTCAGCGTGATCTATGTGATTGTATACTGCAATAGAGTGATATTGGGATCGAAGGGATCGATGAAAGAGTCGGTGCCAGTAGAGATGCGGAATGATTTATCATAGAAGGGCATGTAGAAGAAGGGATGAGAGAAGAAGTCAGGTGATCAGGGGGGTGGGTAGACGGAGGAGACATGGGAGACGAGGGACAGACCGAGGAGATGGTTGGTACGTATACGCAATTGACCAAGAGAGGGAGTATCGATAAAAGTTCCTATAAAAGCTTGGGATGTATCGTCTCTCATAGCGAATATCAAAACAGAAGACAAGCCGCTAGCTTGAAGCATACAGACGCAGCGAAATATACGAGTAGTCAACTGGGACAAAATAGAATACAGAGATCTCTGATGGAACGAGATGGCAATTGCAGCGTAGACGGAGAACGACGCCTGTCCGATTGCTACTCGCTATGTCACAGATGGTGCACATGCAGGAATGAATTCTTGCAACAGAGGTATGTCTAATTCGCTGCATTCGATGCTCAGTGACAATACGATACTGACGATTAGGGATAACAAGTACCGAGGATGACAAGGGACCGGGATAGGTCCCATGAAGGAAGTAGTGTGAAGTGAAGAAGGAGGGGACGCAGAGGGAGGACGTTCTCTACAAAGATGACCCTATGGCAAGGGAATGCACACGACTCTCGGACTGAAAAAGATTCCATCAGGGCAAAAGGGATGCAAAGGTATGAGGGGATGCGAATGTAAAAGATGATCATGTTGGATGTCGTCTATGCCTGCGCAGGTCTCGAGTGAGCGCGCTGAAGAGCCGCACCAGACTGTTGAGCCTGAATCGAAGAGAATCTGATACGTCAGCGTTATATTCATATATTGATCAGACTTTCGACTCACCGTTGCAACTCGTTCGTAGACATGTGGACATGAGCATTTCCCTTGAGACGGTTGGCAGCACGAGCAAGGAAGTTGGTTCGGTTCGAGTAGAGAGACTCGACCCTGGAGGCGGTACGGTGAAGACGTTCGCCATTCTCGTCGACGATAGGGGGAGCGGCACGACGAGCCTTACGACGTTGAAGCGCAGCGATGACCGTCCTCTTGAGAGCGAACTTGACCAAATCGAGAGGGAAGTACCAAACAATGTTCCAAATCCAGACGATACCAATCCAACCACCAGAGATAGAGTGCACTTGAGTGAAACCCCAGTCACCGAATCCGGCGATAATAGAAGAGACAAGCTGGGCCAAGCAGAAGGCGAGCATGAGGGCAACGGAAGGTCGCTCGGTCCAGGAGAAACCGTGAGAACGGGTGACAAAGATAAGAGCCTGAGAGATGATGGCGACCTGAAGGTAGATGACCATGTGTGCTTGAGGATCGTTGACATCTTTACCGACGGGGTTGACGTGGAATTTGCTCTCGAAGAAGGTCGTGTGGTGCATTGCGCCGAAGAGAGCAAGGGTCGAACCGGTCAGGTAGATACCGTATCCAATACCATAGGCGAACACCTCGGCGAGATCCCAAGAGTCAGGAGTGGTCGAAGGCAACACTCGGTCGAGCGAGAGCGTCATGATGGTACCGTCGTTGAGAACCGCAATGATAAGAATCATGAATGACGGGAAGTCGAATTTCCAAGCAAAGGCCATGATGGCGAAGCAGAGAACGATACGGATGGTGACGGCACAAGCGTAGACGGCGTAATTCCTCATACGTTGGAAGATGACACGAGAACCGTAGATAGCGTGAACGATGGTAGAAAGACCGGGCTCAGTGAGGACAATGTCGGCAGCACCACGGGCAGCGTCCGTGGCACCTTCGACGGCAATACCAACGTTGGCACGAGACAAAGCGGGAGCATCGTTCGCACCGTCACCAGTCATGGCACAAAGATGACCGAGACCTTGGATACGCTTGACAATTTCGAATTTGTGCTCGGGGAACACACCGGCGAAACCGTCGGCGTCCATAATCATCTCATCCAGGTTGGCGAACTTGCTGCCGGGTTCGGGTCCATCCTTGAGCACTTTAGCAGGGTACATGTGATCACCCAAACCGAGACGACGACCAGTTTCCTTGGCAATGGCAAGTTGATCGCCGGTGACCATCTTGACCTTGACACCGAGAGCCATGGCATCGTCGATAGTCTGTTTCGTGTCTGAACGAGGAGGGTCAAAGATGGAGAGCAGACCAACAAGCGCGAAACCAGACCCGGGAGAGTCCTTCTCCGAGCCCAAAACGTCCTCATAGGCGACGGCGAGGGCACGGAGACCACGGCGAGCGAATTCTTCCACATCGGCTTCAAGTTTGTCTTCAAGTTCGTTGGTCTTGTCACGAGTGCAAAGTTCGATGATGATACCAGTCATACCTTTGGTGGCACGCTTGAGCTTGCCGTCAGCCTCGTCGAGGTAGGTGATTTCGGTACGCTTGTCGACGGGGTTGAAAGGCTTGAAATCGAGGAGCTTCATGTTTTTGCGGGCAAGAGCAGGATCCGAAAGAGTTCCAACGACACAGCCATCAATGGCATCCTGGTTTTCGGTACGACTGGCGTAGGCAGCGAGCAGACACACACCCTCTACGTCAAAGGTCGAATAGCATTTGACGTTCTCCTTGTCAATGGTGAGCTTGTTGGTGGTCAATGTACCGGTCTTGTCTGAGCAAAGGATGGTAACACCGGCAAGCTCTTCGATGGCAGTGATACGGGTGACGATGGCCTTGTGCTTGGCGAGCTGTTGCGCACCGACGGCAAGGGTGACAGACAACACGGTAGGCATAGCAATGGGAATACCACCGATCAAGAGGACCAGAATGTTGTTGAGACCACGACGGTAAGAGTATCGGAAGTCGGCGTACAAGATGAGGATCTCGAGCAAGACGAAGAGGCCGATGGAGACGAGACAGAAAGTACCAATACGGGCGAGAACCATCTGCAAGTGACCAACTTGGTCGTTGTCCTGACCGACGAGAGTTGCAGCGCGACCGAAAAAAGTGTTGGGACCAGTGGAGATGACGATACCCTCGGCCTCACCCTGTTTACAAGTAGACCCAGAGAAACATTCGTCACCGAGCTTTTTGCCGGAAGGGAGGGACTCTCCGGTAAGAGCTGCTTGGTCCATACTGATGGTAAGCAAAGATCGACTTCAGCTACGTGGCACTCACGAGACATCAATGGCTTCGGTCAATCGACAGTCGGCGGGACAGACATCACCGTGCTTGAATGCAACGAGATCACCGGGCACGAGTTCGGAAGATTCGACTTCTCGCCACACACCGTCACGCTTGACACGGGCCTTGGGGGCAAGAGAGTCCATAAGAGCTTTGACGGCATTACCAGCGTTACGTTCTTCGACGAAACCGATGGTAGAGTTGATCAACAGAAGGAGAACGATACCGACGAAATCTTGCCAATCGGGAGGGGTACCTCCACCATTTGACAAAGCGATGGCGACGAGGGCGGCACCCTCCATGACCCAGGAAAGGGGGTTCCACATGAAGGAAAGGAACTGTAATAAGACACTGCATGTCAGCGGCGCAACTGGAGAATGACTCGAAGCGCTCACTTTTCTTTCTTTTCTTCCAATTTATTGGGTCCGAAAATGCCGATACGATTTTGAGCCTCAGCCTCGGTAAGACCACCCTCGTCACATTGAAGGAGTTGAAGGACCTCCTCCATGACGATGTGCTCAATGTCGACCTTGTCTTTGTCATACAGGTCGGAAGCAGTCAATTGGATCTGGTTGTCAGACATGGCGAGACTGCGATGGAGTAGACTGACAGTGTTCATGTCAACTTTGGCATGTTGATCACCGGTATGTTTCTCCTCCATCTCTTTGTACTCGCGCTTCTTCTTCTCGGGCGCCTCGTCCATTGCTTACTCAATCAGCGATATTCATGATGGGATGCAAGAAGCCCTACCAGGTGCATCACCGGAGACTTTGTTCTCAACCGATGACTCTCTATTTCATCAGCAAGCGTTACATCGGAAGAGTGGGGGGTGGTTGTGAAACAGAGGAGAGCAAAGTGGAGAGAGGAGAACGTAAACAAACACTCACTTTGTGGGGATTTCCTCGCCCACCTTCTCTGGGTCGGACATGATGGATGTAGATGTGAGAGTTAGGTAGATGGAAGAAGGATAGATGTGAAGAAAGAAATTAAAGAGGAAAGAGGATAAGACAGGTGTTTAAAAAAAGAGTCGGAGATGATAAATGAAAACAAGGGAGGGGTTGTTTGCGTCTGGCCGCTAACGGTCGTGCGGGATTTTTCTTACAAGAGAAATATCCCTGTAGCACGGTTGCTGACCGCCACCGACGTTTCACTCGAAGAGACGGAAGGATATGGAGTTGAGAGGTGGTCGTGAAGGAAGAGATCAACGACAGTGTCGCCAGAAAGATGAAGAAGGTGAATGAGAGGTAGAAAAAAAAAAGAGAGAGTTTGTGGTGGAGATACGACGACGCCTTTACTCAAAGGGGGTTGGTCGACGGGTTTGAGCGGCCGCAAAGGGGGGAGGCGGGAAATAGCCTCGGACGCTCAGGGTCAACACAGTCTTTCTCTCCTCCTATTCAAGAATGTCTTGACTGCCACTCAGGTCACCAAGTGGGAAGTAGAGGGTGTGAGACGGGTGGGGATGGGTGAAGAGGGGGTGGGAGGGAACGAGGACACAACTGTAAAGAAGGAGAATTAACAGTGGAAAACCAGTCGGCATAGTTATGCCGAGCCTTTGGGTTGAGAGACAAACACCTCTGATTTTCCACTTTCGAGATTTTTTGGCTAAGCAAGATGACGTCGGATGGCTTGACCCGGTTAACTCCTCGCTCTCCTCCCACGCCGCATCCGATCGAATATTCCATCTTGCGCTCAATTTTTCCCAATTTTCTCCCTCTCGTTCCTCCCCTCCCATTACGAATTTCCTCACCAGTCAATTCTCCGCTCAAGTCTACGCATTCCCTATCGATTTTTCACTCTTGCGGCCGAGTGACCGGGCCGATATCGCATGCACCATACATAGTCAGTCGCAGATTTACATGCTCGGATGTGGCTGGAAGGTCGATGTATGTATTCTCAGCCGCAGGCCGCAGGAAGGAGGCGCCAACCGAAACCGAAGTAAGGATGCCCGAGATGACCGCTGACCGAGAAAATTCCATGACTTTTGCGGTTCGCAGCTATTGGACCTCGGTTTCGATCAGCAAAGCGCGATTTTCTACTGGATCTCGGAAGCGGTTTCCGAGTCAGACGACGTCCTTTAGCGATGGTGCCTCGAGAACCCGTGACATGGTGTGTTCCTCAATCTCCTGGTCACAGGTCGATCTGTCAATGATCAATGATCTTTGGCCTAAAGAACATGTCGTCAACGATGGACCTGGTCGTCTTGACCACACATTGACGGATACATAACTACCATAAAGCGCTAGCTACGTTACATAAATCAACTAGCTCCCCAAGTCACTGTTTCGAGATGATGAGGGCAGTCATGTCTCCGGCGACATTTCCGATGCTTGCCCCATGCATCGTCGGCTGCTAGGCTGCTGACCCTTGCGAATATCACGGAGTCGTTTTCCGGCCAAGACAGAGATAAAGAGTGAAGTAGAGTCACGACTGCCTGGTAGGCTGCAGATATCGCAGATGGCTGGAGATCTCGGATCTACCATTTCCCTCCCGCTTCCGAGATCCCTACTCCTGTGTATCGGCAGAAAGGAGAAAGATAAGATAGCCTGTCGATCGTACTCAACAAGGAGTTGGCATTCGTGCGTTACGCTATGCACTTGACATGCTCTGCGCCGTTTTGCGGTTATGATCAGCATGCACTTTACCTCTATCACGCCAGTCGTGTATGATGTCACTCACGAGAGATGGAAGTCTCGTTTCTCAATATAGACATAGTACACGGAGTACGAATAGAGTACCGTTCATGTTGGTGAGATTGATACATTGCGAGTCTAGCCAGATTTGAGATTAACCCATGGAAGCCGTCCCGTATGGAAGCGTCCATGCTTTCTCTCCCTCAAAGGACGTTTCGCACACCTCACAATGACTTCTTTTGCTCTGAACCACGATGGACCACATGCATCCATACGCCCGAAACGAACTAATGATACCCTCAAAGTGTTGTAACATGTAACACATACCAGAACCGACCAAGCAGAGGGACGGATGGAATGCCATTGTGGGGCTCCGTTGACGCACAGGCCTTTCTTTGGCCCGTCTGATGCGTTTCAACCCCCTCCCTCTCCTGTCTCCGCCGTTATGCCCTACCCATCATCACTCCATCCATGTGAAACTTTTCTTATTATACCCTCTCCCTCTCTTCCATTCTTCGTCATACCTCTTCCACCTAGCTTCGCTCAGTGAAAGTGTCAGGTGACGGCAGTGTTCCCTCCAGCCTTCATCCGCTGTCATCCTCTGGCATCTCACAGACATCCCAAGAGCTAGTCACCCATAGCCGAGAACGTGGCGATGAGTACCAAGCAGCCTACCTCACCACCTCGATCTAGCGAAGATACAAGAGCAGTCTTAAGATCTCTTCTAGCAGTGTCTTACTCTACCATACCAGGTAGAGGGCATGTCAAGACTGCCGCTTTCGTCCGATCAAGTCTTGAAGAGGTGATCAATGGTACGCCCACACTCGACTAATGATGAACGGGTGATGACGTCGTAGCTGCGCCTACACAAATACATCCAAGTGAAAGGACTTTATACCTCGAAGCTTTACTAGAGGATCTTCGACCTGTCGAAGCAGCCGTATGGACACAATGGCCAGATGATTGTGAGCACTTTCGATGCCTCGTAGACTTCAGCTGATGATAACAGTATATCTATCATGTCTGACAGCGGTCAAATCGTTGGGACGTAACCCAGTCGGTTCGGAGATCATGTACACTCCTGAGAATCTCCAAACTATTCTCTATCATACCTCTCTACCCGGTCCCCCTCGGAAATCTCTGCTCGCTCCAGTGGTTCGCAGTCCGACATCGCCCACCGCTCTAGAAGCTCTGAGGATCTTGGCGAATTTACTGGTACTTCATGCTGAGGGTCGAGAGAATTTCAGCAGAGCGGATGGTGCTTTGATCGTTGCCAAAGCTTTAGCAGGTCGGGCATGGGATGGAGAATTGGAGGTCGAGTTCGACAGTCCGGACAGATTATTTCTGCTCGGGAGAATAGGCTTCCTCATCACCCTCGACCGGAAAGAAGCTGTGGAAACGATGGTCGTTAAGGAAGATTTGGTGTCGAGTCTGGTATATGTGAGTATCCTGCCTCTCTGACTTATGTTGACTGATGCATAGCATCTGACATCCGTCCCCCCACAGCAGAGTAATTTCGCCGCGTTGAGCGAGCTACTCAAACTAGCCAACAATGTGATCAGATTTTTTCCACGCCGGACAACGTCTGAACATGACCCCTGGGACAGTCGATTGGAGTCGTGAGCCACCCCTTCCTCAGTCGATTCCACTTAACTGATCATCAGACTACTTTGGCCAGCATTATGTCTCCTACATGAAATTCCGTTCAACGACCTTTCACCCCCTTTAAGTCATACAATCCACGTCTTACTCTCCATACCTTTCTCATCAACTTTGCTCAACAAATGGCAATCGATCCCTAACCCACCTCCTGCCACTTCTCCATCCGGTACAACCGTCCGTTCGTTGTTCAACAAATTCTCGTCAATGTCCTCGAACACAGTTTACACAATCGCCAACCCCCGCAAGTCTTCTTCCGACTCAACATCAAGTGCCTCTTCTAGCACACAAGGCAAAGTACGCTCTCCCGCGCCTTCGCCAACACATGTCCGAAGAGAAAGAGTGACTTTGCTACCACCGATGAAGACGGATGAGACGGCATTGGGCAGGAGGCTTATGAAGATTCTGACCACCTTTGTGAATAGCTGGCTTCCAGAGGGGAAAGCACCTGATGGAGAACTACCAAAGGGTTTGATTTTGGACGAGCAGTTACCTCCACTTTTGTTGCTGATTGCTCGTGCGACGGATGGAAGTTCACCTACAAAGACGTATTTCAGAGACACACTTCTTCCCACGAGCCTGTGAGTCATCGCTTGTCATTGTATAATCATGGCTGATGTTGAGGGACCGTTCACCTGAAGCTGGGCCGTTGGAGAAGAGACACTCGGTCTTGGGAGCGATCCTGAGGTTGATGCAAAGCACTTTGAACCCTCAATGTCGTGATACGGCGGGTGAGATGATGTGGTCGATCTGTGATTCAAACGGTAAGTTATCTCTCGAAGACCCTCAATTGGCCCGACTCTCACTGTGCCATTCGGACCTGTCCCCGGTTCATATGGGGTTTGCCAGGGCTGACACTCCAGCTTCTGAACTATGCGCTGAGATAGGATACGGCAACGCTGCGGGGTTGCTCTTCCGAAAAGGCATTACCGAGCCTCCTCCAGGCCGTATCACTCCTCTCCCTGAACCAACAAAATTGAATGTCGAGACCAAACCATTTTTTAAAACGACCTCGATATCACCGAAAAAGCCGGGATCTCCATCCAAACGGGCCGTGCAAGAGGAAAGAAATCCCATCACCTCACTTCGACGCGATGACGATACTTCACTCGATGATATGACTCAGGAAGAGAAAGAGAGTGAGGCAGAGAGGTTATTCGTGTTATTCGAAAGAATGGAGAGAAATCCGGTGATCAGTATGAAGTCGGGCGACGAGCAGAAAGGTGTGAAAGATGTGATGAGGGAGAAAATGCAGAGCGGAGAGTTGGAGGTGAAAGAGAGAGAAGAAGAAGAAGCGGACAGGAGAAGATTGGAAGAGGAAGAAAAGATAGATGAGGAGGACGCTAGGAAAGAGATGGAGGCGTATAGACAGAGGATGAAGAGATGAGGAGGGATTCGTTGGATTAAAGGAAGAGATCTATTGATGTAGCATATTCACAAGGATAAGAGGGAATTGTCTTGATGTCGAACGTAATGCATAATCTTTACTCATATCACAAAGGAGATTGGGGGTTTATATAGGTTTAGGAGCGGAGGGAGCGGAAGTATCTTTGACCGCGGTACTGCTTTGTCAATATGTTTCCACCCTCCGCATACATGGTCGCTCCCCAGCGTATATGGTCTTTGGAGTAAGGAGCTCATATGATCACTGCTAGAGACTTCGTCCTTGATCTGAGAAGTTCTGTGAAATCTCGTCACCGCACCAGAACAGCCACGGATAGAATATAAACGATGAAAAATTTGATACTGAGAAAATGAAGATGAAGAGATAATGGACAGATGAACAGCACCTAGGCAAGTGATGAGAACAGATGTGCTAAGTGAATTTCACCTACCGAAGGCGTTTACAAAATTCATCTTCTTGATCATCATCATCCCAATTATCCTCCCATAATTTTTCGATAACGTCTTTGGGTTTTTGGTTCGATTCGA